TGCAAAAGGTGGTGGATAGAAACATCACATTCCTCCAACTCCGCATACTTGGTCAACAGCAGAAGTATCTTGAGCGTATACGGCGAAGGTTGTGCCGGGCAAACTTGGTAGAACCTACAGAACTCTTCCGCTAATGGGAAGAGAGGAAAAGTATAGCCAATCATGAAAGGGTATTCGCAGAAAGCGCAGTGTCCAGGTCTGTGGACCTCTACAAAATCTCTCCCCGCTGGAACCATGTCAACATGAGCGGGAATGTCATACTTTACATGAAGAGCGTCAATGTGAGCTTGCTCCGTCTCAGAGAGTAAGAGGGTAGGAGTAGGAGGGGGGTCTTTGAGGTTGTCTCGGCCGTAACTCCTCCACCGTAGGAAGACTATCACCCTATTCTACCACTGTATCTTAACCGCCCGAAGGGGGCACAATGGACAATGGGGCGGCCTCAGGAATCCCTTCACAAGATCGATGTGACCTTGGCATGTTTTCGTTAAAAAAATGTCACTGCAGCAAGAAAAAACAGAGGAAGGAGAAGTTGTGAACGGAGAATGTGAGAAGAAGAAGCAGAAGATTGTCAGGGCAAGCTCAGAGAAATGAGGATGGGGTATTCAGAAGTGAAATGGCCAAGAACTTTCGGAAAAAATCCTCTACCTATTTATAGGATTGGGTGGCGCCAGAATCGAAGCGGAAGGTCACAGAGTGGCACTAGAATCAAAGCAACAAGCCATCAACTCCTGTCTCGAAAACACGCGTAATGATGACGCACGTGAAGATGACATCATTTTTTGGTAAAATGCATTGCCTGGTGTCTTGCTAAGCACTCTGACCGCACACCATTAGCTATGTCGTAACGCCTCGAAGGATCAAATTTCTCCGTAGGAACGCATGGTGTCCGCTCATCGAGGACGCACCAAGTTGCAACCTCGACAAGCGGAGGGACTAACTGTATGGGTCCAAATTTGAACAACCACGACCATCGACGAGTACGACGAATGACGAGGTCCTCGTAACTCGACGTCTTGTGGAGGACGACCTTAAGGCAAACAAGAGATTGTACGACCCTTGTAATAATACAAGCTCATTAAGGGATACTAGGAATATTCCTTCAAATATTCCTTATAACTTGTCTTTTATAGCTTAGAAGGGTTTCACTCCTTATATATATAGCGAACAACAACCTTTTAAAGGGGCACTTCTGGGCTGATCCATAATACTTGCTGTAAATTTGCTCAGATAAACGAGTGAGAAGATTTATTGTAAAAGGTTGGTTGATCTGGATAGATAAGGAAGTCTTACTATCCGTATTCTCCTTATCCATTTTTCGTTCTAGAGATTATTATACTTAGCTAAGATTTATCCCTCCATTTTTTTTGATTGATTTATTCAAAAAGGTTTCGATATCTTTTGAGTCAAACAACTCCCACCAATGTTTCAAGTTTTATTCGAATTTAGAATTTAAATTTAACGAGTTCAATTTTATGTTCTAATCAATGAAATTTGAAATTTATTGAAATTTATTGAAATTTTAGTGATTCTTCTGCATACGTGCATATACTACGTCCGACACTGCATATACTAATCCAACAAGGAATTTTAATAATACTAACTGTATAATGTTGCATAGCAGAAAAGGTGTAATTCCAATGAATTAGAAATGAGAAATATTCTTTTATTGTTTTATATATATATATATATTTTTTTTGTCCGTTCCAACAATTTAAGAAGAAAAAGATCTTGATATATGGTCATGGATTGTGTTGTACAAGAGACCAATTTTCTTCATAAGTCTATCTCCCTGAGATTGAGGGAATGGTTGAAAGTAGTAAGTGGTCTAGGACAAAAGATACTTATTATGATGCCTTTACTACTGTCTAAAGTACTATATATGCGATAATCTGATCCATCCAACATATTTCGAGCTCAATAAATAATTGTAATAGGAGTACTAATTTTTGGTTCTGAATTGTGATGATATCTACCTTTTCATTATTTGTGGTATCTAGAAAAGTCAATTAACTGGGACTTCGTTGTATGATACTCTTTCCCATATAGTTTCAAGCTACCAGAATTAATTATCATTAAGTATAGATTAAACAGAAATGACAAAAGTAGTTCAGTAGTAGAATTATAATTAGTCCGTCACGATCACCTTGGAAATATAATAGTATCTGGGTCCTCACAAACTATGGACTACATCAGACAATTTTAATCATTTGGTTACATTCTCTATCATATCTTCCAATATCCTTTGTTTTTGTCATATAACCATACAATATACTTATGGTGCAACCTCCTGCAGGGTGGGTGATAAGCTCACGTGCAGTGACGGATCTAGGATTTTTTTTAAGGGTATTTAAACTTGAAAGAAGTAAAAGAATCCTCGAAAAAGAATATTTAATATATGTTATATATATTTAAAATTTAATATTTTATCTATATACGCAATGTAATTTTCTACGAAGGATAGTCAATTAATGTAGCTTCGCTCATGCCATGGGCCCACACCTTCCTTTCCAAATCCACAGCATGTACACGACTTAATTCTAGTCTATGTTAATACAATTGAATATTGAAGTAGAATATTTAAAAGGCTTAAACTACAAACTCCATGTTTGGACAAGTTTCTAGATAATATATTTAAACTAAGTTGTGTGCTGATTATCAGTATTTAAAATGCCGGCTAAAAGCCAAAATTAGTTCAGTGATATTTCTTTTGATTTTCCACTCGGTGTTCAGTAACAATATTAGGTTAAATATGAATTCGTATCGGAAAGTTTCATATTACTCTCTAACAAAGACGACTTCATACATAGGGATTCGAACCCGAGACCTCTAATTAAAAATGAAAGAGTACTTGTCACTCCAGCACAACCTTGGATGGTGTTCAGTGAGATTGTTATAGTAGGCCTATGTTCAAACTCATGAATTTGTCTTTCCTTTAGAATAATTGAGTACCGACAAGCCTTATCATTCGAGTTTTTCGGCGGTGGACCGAAGTGAAGCTTAGGTAGTAGCTAGCTAGCGACAGATTACACCTCATGTAAGACACGCTTAGATCTAGCGGTCCAGAGTTCGAATTTTATGGGTTTGAGTTAGCAATTTTAGCACAATTCATTTAACTTATTTAATTTAAATTCAATTATTTGTACTCATTTAATAAATCTCTCAACACATATACAAAATTTAAGTCAAAGCTATTAGATATGATGAACCCAATTATCCAGATCTTGTGCATGGTTGATGCAATCAATCATTTGCTGTATTATTTCAACTTTCAAGCTTATTAGGTACATGTTTGATTTGTGCCTGAGGATACCAAACAAGCTTTATTTCTGGTTAGACTTGGCTAAAGAACATATTGGGGATTTGGTATAAGTTTTGCATCCAAAAAACGTACACATTCGAAGTTTCGAGGTCAGAGCAGATAATAATTTCCTCACCCCACCCACCCCCTCAAGATAGGAGCCAGTCATAGTGTTGGAAAAGAGAAAATAGAAGAGGCAAACCAAAAAATAAAAACAAAAAAAGAAAATAGGACTTTTTATCAGATATAAACGTTGCAGTAGATAATACAAGAAAATTTGCAACAATTAGACCTCAATCATAATCTGAAAACAGATAATAATTTTTTTCCTTTTCTGTTAAACATTTCTCAATAAATCTTGAGATCAACTTTTATGGGAATTAATACTAAAACAAGTGAATATTCGACCAGTCTTGGTTTCTAAAACTAACTGGTTCAAGCTCCAGTGGGACATCATTATCTACAGATTTGAAAATTATTAAAAAAATTTGTACTCGTAATTAAATTAATAGTATATGAGAAATATCTATAATTAGGAGTAGTTATATCACTAACCAATTTCGCATTAAAATGCCAGAGCCCGCTTAAGGGGAAAATGGCCCAGAAATTGATTCTAAAAGATATGCGTCCAATTATTCTAATAAAAGATAATGATATAGATAAAGTCATGATGCAAATTGAGAGGACAAATCAATGTCTTCTCAGATATGATTCACGAAATGTTTATTCTGTTTTCTTCACCTAAACCTGATCCTTTCATTTTTTCAATAGTCAACCCGAGGCAACTTATTCGGCGCTGATTGTATATAATTCTAAAAAGATATTATGATATGAGTGATGAAATTTGAGCGGACACATCAATGTCGTTTCTGGAGGCACAGGCGGATCCAGGAATTTAACTTTATGGGTTCATGATTTAAAACTCTAGCACATACCTCAAGTTACTATACAATAATAACCGAACGAAATACGAACAATATATATATATAGCAAGTATCGAACCATCTAACATATTATATATTCAATAAATATCACCATTACAATTGTACCCTACGGGTTGTCATGCTTTGAAAACGATCAATAATCGCATCATTAGGTATAGTTTCAAATACTTCATCTTCTATATAACAAACTAAACAATCATTCAAAAATTCATCACCAATTCTGCTACGCAAGTCATTTTTGATGTACTTCATTGAAGAAAAAGCTCTTTCTACCGTTGCAGTAGTGACATGCAATATTAGACTTAACTTCACAAGCAAAAAAATAAGTCTCCAAGTCCTTTCAAGTTAGAGAAATCGTTGTCTTCTTTCACAAAGAGAATATAGTTATCAAGCTCGTAACTGAGATCTTCAAGCTTTGAACCACTAAACTCGTGAGGATAAAGTGTAGCAAGTTTCATAATTCTTTCTTTATCATAATTTCCAAAAGAATTATCCGGACTCAAACTAGCCATACCAAGAAGTAGATTACTATTCACCGCATCAAAACAACTGTTAAGCTCTGAAAGTTGCAAATCAATAACAGTATTAAAAACTTCGACACACAAATGATGAGAATATGTAACACTTGAACTCCTACGCTTTGACTTTCCAAGATGATAGTTCTTATCCATTTCAGGGATCACAATACCATGCTTGGCACAAAATGAAGAGGCATCATTTATCAAAGATTCCCATTTAGGTTCTCTCATCCCTTGCAATTACCTCTTGGCGAAACCAACAAGCTTCATAGCATTTACAATATCCTGGTCTTTTCTTTGCAAAGCCATATTCAAATCATTTGTAATTGCCAATAATTTTAACATCAAGTGCATCATATGCACAAACTCAAAAGATCTTATGTCATTCACTAAACTTTTTGCTACTGATCTCTCTAGATAATTTGCACCCTCACTTGCAAGAAACTCAAGTACATTAATGATAGACGAGAATAATGTAATAAAGTTACGCACTGTCTTAAAATGAGAACCCCATCGAGTATCACCTGGTCTTTGGAGTCCAAGTTCTTGATTTAGTCCACTTCTTGTATGAACTTCACCAAGAACTTGTAGCTCCTCTAATTTTTTTGCCTGATCCTCTCGAAGCATATCCCTACGCTTAAAAGAACTTCCAACAATATTCAAGACATTAGCAACAATATCAAAAAATTGATCTACATCACAATGTTTTTTTGCAACGACTACAAGAGTCAATTGCAATTGATGGGCAAAGTAATGTATACAATATGCCGAAGGATTATCTTTCAGAATTAAAGTTTTAAGACCATTGATTTCTCCTTGCATGTTACTAGCTCCATCATAACCTTGTCCCCGTATTTGAGATGGACTCAATGAGTGCTCTAAAAGCAAATCATAGATTGCTTTTTGTAATGACGATGAAGTTATTTTTTTAACATGAACAATACTAAGGAATCGCTCAATAAGTTTGCCCTCTTTGTTGACATACCGCAGAACAAGAGCCATTTGTTCCTTATGAGAGACGTCCTTAGATTCATCAACCAAAATTCCAAAATAATCTCCATTCAAATCTTCAACTATTGCTTTCATTATTTCTTTCGCACAAGCATTCACAATCTTTTTTTGGATATTTGGAGCAATCATCATGTTATTTTGTGGAGCACTTTGTAGTACAACCTTTTTCACTTCATCATCCCTATCTGCATACCATTGTTAGAGTTCTACAAAGTTTCCTCTTTTAGTAGAAGTTTCACCTTCATCGTGGCCCCGGAAAGATATTCCTTGTTTTAAAAGAAATCTTGTCACATCAATCGAAGCATTCAACCGAACTCGATAATCACTTTTAATTTTTTCAGACTGCTTGTCAAAAGAGGTTAGAATTGATTGTTCTTGATTAATTAAGTCTCTCATCATCTTAAAACACCGATTGTGAAGACTATTTACCTCTCTAATATGTGCGTTAAATCTTTCTATAGTTTTATTTCAAGCTCTAAAACCACTCTTTGTGAAAGAATCCTCAACTTTTCCATGTCCTCTATGCTCATTTTTAAACAAGTAACAACATAAGCAAAATGCTGCATCAACTTTAACACTATATTCTAACCATCCAGAGTATGAAGTGTTAAACCATTCAAGATTAAATTGACGCATAAATCCACCAAAATATCTTTTTGGAAATCTACAATTACAAGGTTGACAAGGCGCTTGTTGAATATAATGTCTCCTCACTTGATCACGTAAATTCGGAGGATACTCTGAAATTTGCTTTCTTTCTGCAGGATCGAGTTCAAGATTCAAATTCAACATTTTCTCTTTGTTTAATCTTGCCGAATGATTGATATTGTCATGAATAGTTGGACTTGGAAAAGAACTCAGCGTAGGAGGACTATAACCAGAACCAGAAGTTTGAGGAGTTGGAATAGCCTTAAAAAATTTCGTAATCATATCCACCCTCACTAAAAAGATCCTAAAAAAATACAAAAAACAAATTACACTCCAGCAGAGGTACTTTAATCTTGTTAGATTGAATGGAAGGAGCTAACTAGTTATCCAAACAAACATACATTATTGCTAGACATATAACTTAATGACAAAACTCAAAAGGGTTACTTTTTAAATATTCAAGAATCAAGAATGGGTGTTCAAGAACCAAGAACAGAGGCGGATCCTTTAACTTATAATTAATAAATATTGCATTATTATTGAGAAAGAGCCATAGAATCATACCAGCAAAATAAAGAGAATTGATTGCAGTTTATGTCCAACAAGAAGAGCCTTTGCTTTGATTCTTTTGAAACCCTAACTTTAAAAATTTGGGAAAGAAGAACCTTCTGAAAAGTGGAAGTTTTTGATCTCTTAAAGCTTTGTAAAGACCAAGGAAATAAGAAAGAATCCTCAACTTTTTATAATTATTAAAATGCCCCACAAGAAGTATACAATAAAGAATAATGGAGTATTAATTAGATGGGTCCTCATCTTTTAAGGATAAGAAACAGGCCTCTTTAAATGGAAAGGGGCAAAAGAAGTCCAAAAGTAGCAAAGAAGTCAAACAGTAACTTGAATAAAAATGCAATAAAAATTGTAGACATACAGATTCGAACTCCAGTCCTCGCTGGAATAAGCAACACTCTGCCAGCACTTTTACCACTGAACTCATAGCCTAATTTAGTCTATGGGTTCAAACAATAATATATGACCATATTTCAGTAATTTTGCCCAGTATATTCCCGGGTTCTGTCGAAAGTAATGAGTTCAATTGACCCCGTATCCATAACACTAGATCCGCCCCTGTCTGGAAGAGCTGGACTTGCTTTTATTAAGAGACGGTGGTGTTCCCCCGTATCTTTTTCAATTATTACTACTTCTGTTTTCTTCAGAAAGGATCAGTTTGGAATTTTAATTTTGTACCTATAACATGTAAAGAAATTAATATATCAGTGAAAATAATTATATTGTGGAGGTTCATTTAATACTCCGCTATAGATAATCTTTCTGAAGAAGATTATCCATTTAGTACTCCATTTAAGTTGTCACCATCCGGATTTTCCACCCTCGGGAGTCGTGATGGCGCCTACTCGTGAAAGCTACGTAAGCCGCGTAATATAGAATCACTAACTCTTTTATTTAGCACTTTTAACAATTTAAATTAATATGCGATCAACAGTGAAATATTAACGATAAATAAATACATGCGGAAGACTTAATCTGATAACTTAGCTAAACCAGTATGACAATACCAACATACATCTCTGCCCGGAATCCGGTGTCACAATATCACAGACCAACTATGAATACTATATACAAATGTCTGGAAAGAAAAGTACAATCTATCTCTGAAGTAAATAAAAACAGAATACATATAAAGATAGAAGAGAACACCGGGCATGCAGACGCCTGCAGGATTACCTCGGGATCTCTAACTGGATTGAAGGCAGCCGCCCAATGCTACGGTCCAAAAGCTTCCACTCCGGGATCTGCACATAGTGCAGAGTGTAGTATCAGCACAACCGACCCCATGTGTTGGTAAGTGTCTGGCCTAATCCCAGCGAAGTAGTGACGAGGCTAGGACCAGACTACCAAATAAACCTGTGAAGTTATATAATGTGCAGTAAAAAATAAAATAGGAATAAACAAGTAAATATGGGAGGGGGTACATGTTGCGGGGGAATATCAATATCAACAGTAAATTAAGAGAAAGGCATAAGGGCAATTTAGGATTTACAGCAAAACAATAAGGAACTCGTAACCAATCCATAAACAATTGTATTATCAATTGTTGCAGCGCGCAACCCGATCCCAAAACATAATAACACTATTGCGGCGTGCAACCCGATCCAATTATATTATTGTTGCGGCATGCAACCCGACCCAATTATATCATTGTTGCGGCGTACAACCCGATCCAAATATAATATTGTTGCGGCGTGTAATCCGATCCAAATATAATATTGTTGCGGCGTGCAACCCGATCCACATATACAGTTCAACACCAATCTCAACAAGAGTCCCGGCAAGGGATCAATAAAGAAACAATACTATTCCAGCAAGGGAATCGACAATATAATTAAATGCGTCCCGGCAAGGGAGAATCAGCTATAACCAAACTTGTTCCAACATCTAACTACCTCAACCAGCACAAATACTCAATCATAAGTAATTTCCAGGAGGATAATCATAATCCTTGTTGAACACAAAGAATCAACAACTTAGGCATTCATAGTATTTATTCAGAACACAACAATTTCAATTTAATACTCACGGTCATGCTTGACACCAACGTATAGATACTCGTCACCATGCTAATACGTCGTACTCAACAAGTAACATGTAGCAAATAGGATACAACTCCTAATCCCTCAAGCTAAGGTTAGACCAAACACTTAGGTCGAACTTCCACGGCCAACTAAAGCCTCAAACACCGCTTTCCCTTTTGAATTTGGCTCCAAATCAATTCCAATGTGTAATTATAGATTTCCCATCATTCTTCCCAAAAAATCAAAAATTGACCCCCGGACCCGAGTGGTCAAAACATGAGCTTTGGACTAAAATCCGATCACCCATTCACCCATAAGTTTGAATATGTAATTAGTTTCGAAATTCGATCACAAAACGAGGTCTAAGTTCCAATTATACAAAAAGCCCTAACTCTACCCAAATTCCTAATTTTCTACCCTTAAAAACATGATTTAGGCCTAGAAATCTAATGGGTGTTAATGAAAATTGAAGAAAATGAGTCCAAGATTACATACTATGAATTTGTGGTGAAGTTCTCTTTCAAAAATCGCCCAATTTGGAGTTTGGAAGAAGAAGTTATGAAATTTTGGTGAAATCCCGAGTGTTCTGTTACTATTTAAAAATCACTGGGTCGGCCTTCATCGCATTCGCGATAGGCCTGTCGCGTTCGCGATGGGTCAGGCCTAGGTGACCTTCGTGTTCGCATTCGTCGGCTCGCGTTCGCGGAGCGTCAGTAGCTGGAGCCTTCGCGTTCGCGGTCAGATGGTCGCGTTTGCGTACAACAAATGTGAACCCCTCCCCCAGGCCATTAGTCTTACGCGTTCGCAAAGGGTACTCCCCACACAGCCTCATGCTCGCTTCCCAAGCTCTGCGTCCGCGAAGAGCAAACTGGCACTTGAATAAATTGCCTTACGCGTTCTCGAGTGGGACTACGCGTACGCGAAGAACAAAACCTCTGTGCATTGAGACAACAAAAACCTGCAATTTTTCCTAAGTTCAAAACCTTCCGGAACTCACCCGAGCCCTCAGGGCTCCAAACCAAACATGTATACTAACTCAAAAACATCATATGAAATTATTTGTGCGATCAAATCGCTAAAATAACCTTTTAAACAACGAATTTAGCATAGAAATCTATGAAAATTTTCAAAACTTTCAAAGTATCTATTTTCACAACTACGGGTCCGAATCACCTCAAACAACTTCCGTTTCTTACCAAATTTCACAGGATGATCTTAAATCATATATAAGACCTGTATCGGGTTCCGGAACTAAAATACGGGCCCGATACCATCAAATTCTAAACACATTTGATTTCCAAAACTCATAAATAATTCCAGAAAATAATTTTCTTTAAAAATTCATTTCTTGGGCTTGGGACCTCGGAATTCGATTCCGGGCATATGCCCAAGTCCCACATTTTCCTACGGACCCTCTAGGACCGTCAAATCACGGGTCCGGATCCTTTTTTACCTAAATTATTGACCGAAATCAACTTAAATTTATTTTAAAGTCAAAATTTATCATTTTTCACAGATTACACATAATGGCTTCCCGGCTATGTGCCTGGACTGTGCATGCAAATCGAGGTGATGCTGAAAGAGGTTTTTAAGGCCTCAGAATGCAAAATTCATTTTAAAATAAGTGATGACCTTTTGGGTCATCATAGAAGTTTATCTACAAGCAGCTGATGCAGGCAGGTTGCAAGCAACTGAATGAAATAATTTGCAGCAGTTTCTTATTATACAGACAGGTTGCAAGTAATTCATGCAGACAGCTGACAAGCTGCTTCCTGAAAAGCCTCGCAGCTGCTTCCTTTCTTCTATAAATAGAGGAATTTTCAGTTCATTATGTACATGAATTTAAAGTTGAATAATATATCAACCCCCTCTCTCTCTCTATACTTGTCCTCGATTTCTTTACTTTAAAGTCTTTATTTTATAACACGTTATTAGCACGAGACTCTGCCATTTTGAGCACTTACTTCAAATTTAATTTCTATTTCAGTGTTCATCTCCGATGTAAGGCGACGCTCTTACGTCCATGGTTAGATGTTGTTCATCCCAAGCAACATAAGGCAGATTATATCCTTGAGGTGGTGAACTATTCTTCTTGGCGGTAGAGATGTAGATATCACTTACGTTTGGAGTGGCCAAAGTTGTGTAAAGTAACTTGAGCCTTTTGCTTATAGTTGGTTTGATATCTTTAACATCGCTTGCTTGGTTATATGCTACGTATACAATACCTATTTTGGTATTTGTTTTCATCCTAATTATCTTAAGAAAGGATTACAAAGTGGATAACATTGTTAGATCCACTTATACTCCAGCAGAGTTTTCAAGAAATATATAACCACCAGAAGTGATTATGTTTCGTATATCTCATTTTAACTAATTTTTTGTTAACCACCAGAAGTGGTATATGCCTATGGCCACCAAAAGTAATAATTTAGGCTTTCTATGGTTACAATTGAAAATAAGCTAGAGAAATATTCTCTATAGTACGTGCATGCCTCGATTTGCTCCTGAAGTAGCATTATCGTAAAAGAGCTTCTAAGACATCACACAATTTGTGTGATTAATGCGCGTTCAGGTAATTATGTTCCGTTCCCTGAAGGATGAAAACTTTTGATAAATATTAATCCATTTCCTGAAGTGAATGTGACAATATTAATAAAGCTCGTAAATATGAGCGTGCTATTGATGTAAATA